GTGTGTGTGTGTGTGTGTGTGTGTGTGTGTGTGTGTGTGTGTGTGTGTGTGTGTGTTAGTGATAAGGCCATCTTCTACCTTCACACTGCCTATGAGAATATAAGGAATATCTTTACTCGGGAGTTAAGAAAGGCTTGGGAACAACTGGTAACTTAAAGATGGGTGTAATTTGGAAACACAGATCTGGACAAAGCTGACTCTCACAGGGTGAGAACAGCATCCTGAAGACTCTTACTGGAGGGTGGCTAGAGAGCTGACTCAACAGCCGCAATTATCGATCTCCACACCTGCCACAAGGAAACAAAACCCAAACAAATCCCAACCTATTGTGCTATTATGGCACTGGCTATGAGCGCCTCATAGCTACACGTCTAACCCATATGCTGAGCTTGTAAGGTTCTCTGTGAGATCCAAAAAGCCATCTCTGTAGGTGTTGCCCACATAGACATTAAGACACTGACTAATAACCCACAATGGCAGGGAAGACACCAGGATCTACCTGCAGGATCAGAACAGGCCACTGGGCAAACCAAGATGAGACAAATTGAAAAGGCAAGTAAAATAACCTGCACTGAAACTCTTCATGTTCTCACCATGGCCCATCTTTTTACCTGCCGCCTGGGTACTTATTCCATCACGCATGGCATCTCTGTAGGAGAACAAGCCGGCTGGCTGCCAGCCCAGCTTTGAGGTAAGAATGACACAGAGGACCTATGAGAGATCCTCTTCTGGGCCTCTGTGTACATCCACGCACCACCACGTGCAAGTGCCGCACACAGGAAGTAAATACAAACAGAATTTCACTCTTGTCGGATTTGAACCACCTTCTCTACCCCCATGAAGTGTCATGACTGGGACAAGTATTTCACATGGTCAGTGTGACCTGTCACCAGATCTCAGGGAAACTCTAAAAGTCCTCTAAACAATAATATTCTATGATAAGAAAGCTCTATCGCATGTTTCAACAAAAATAACAAACATGAGTGGGTAGCTTTTAGATGACAAGATGGCACTTCCCCTAATTATTAAATCAATCGGCTGCGTTACAAAAAACTGTTAACATCAGAGATGAAAAACTCTTCCTTTGCTTAACCTTCTATTCATGTGACACAAATCTTCCCACAGGATTCTCTCCAAGCAGGCGACGGGAGGCCTGCTTGGTGCTGTGCTTACGTGGCTTCATCACTTGCAGCACAAATCCTGGCCACTGTGCAGCACAGACTGTGACTACAGACGCGGTAGTCTCCTGTCTCTGTGTGTGTGACTATAAGCTACATGGATAGCTCTTTCTGTCCATTTTTGGGTAGATCCGTAACTCTCGTGGCTCTTAAATATGTTAACAACTTCCATCCCCCAAATCTTACAGAAGGGTAGCTAATGGTGACAGCGATGACCGTTACTATCGTTACTACGACTGGTACAATTTTATCCTTCTCTAAACACTGTAGGGAAGTAACTGTTTCAATGAACCTCAGTCGGCAGGGTAGAATTCTCTCGCAATTTTATTGGCTTTAGGAGTCTCTTTACACATCTTCATTTTCTTAGCCAATATCTTCCCGTTTGTTCTTCACATTCTGAGCATCTAAGAGGCTCTTTATACAATGTAACGACAGGAATCTTTGTGTATGGTAAAATCTGTTCCTAGCTTACCTTCTCACTGTGATTAACTCATGCCTTCTCTCCTGTGGTTTTATGCTGAGGTTTCCAACTTAAAGACCTAGTCAGTCACATGCTTCCTAATTTTTGCTATAATAGTCATAAATTAATTATATGAGCTTGGAATGTACTGGTTTCTTTTTTTCAATAATAACTTATTGTTTTGCCATGACCAATCCAGAGTGGTAATACTGGCTGTAGGCTGTGTGAGTAATGGTGCTCACAGGAGCCCAGCACACTTCAGATTCACCCAGGGTATTTGTCAATTCAAAATGATACCTTCAAGGGCGTGGTGACACACGTCTTTAAACCCAGCACCTTGGAAGGCAGAGGCAGGTGGATCTCTGTTAAGTTAAAAGTGAGCTTGGTCTACAGACTGTGTTCTAGGATAGCCAGAGCTACATAGTTAAATCCTGTCTTAAACACACACACACACACACACACACACACACACACACACAAAACCAAACCACAACGCTGTGGTTTGATATATTCTTATGTGGGTATGTTTTTCATTTTCTATTCTGTTCCACCAATCTCTCTTTAATAATATGTAAGGGACACTGTTATCATTGTGAGTTAATGGCATCTAGTAACATCTGCCAGTTCCAGATTTTTAAAAAAGAATTATTTATTTTATTTATATGAGTATGTATATTTTATTTATAGGAGGGCATCGGATCCCATTACAGATGGTTGTGAGCCACCATGTGGTTGCTGGGAATTGAACTCAGAACCTCTGGAAGAGTAGTCAGTGCTCTTAACTGCTGAGCCATCATCTCCAGCCCCCCTGCCAGTTCTATTTTTTATTATGCATTGCTAAATCTTCCCCAGCCCATATACGTTTCCCACTTGGATTTCTTGGTATCTTTCAGTGAATGTAGAAATTATTCAGAAAAAATTCTGGATAACACTTGATAGGGTATAACCTTGTAAAATGACCATATCAGTGCCTACAAAAGAGGGTTATAGCTCTACAAGTTAGCGGTGAATTGAAACTAAGAGGATCAAAGTTTGGGTCATGGGTAGACTCAACGAATTCAGACTGAGAACAGGCACGGTAAGACGGCACAGTAACAACACAGCACCTACTCTTCATTAAGTGGCAAGCTTTAACGGTGGGGAACTAAGGGAATGGGATACAGATCTCGCAATACTGATGGGACACAATGTAGGGAGAGGGACCCAAGGAACGTAAGAAGGGTGAAACACCTTGTTCGAAAGCTCTCCAGACTGACCCAAACTGATTACCTTACGCAATCCAGGCACATAAAGCAGAGGGCTCTAACAGTAGTCTCTATTGTCTGCAATGACAATGTTTCTGTGGTGACCAGAAACAGAACGAGGTTAACATACACAGGAAGCTTAGGATAGATCCTGGAAGAAAGATAAAGACGAACTAAATAAAAATGTGGAAGAAGGGGCTGGAGAGATGGCTCAGCGGTTAAGAGCACTGACTGCTCTTCCAGAGGTCCTGAGTTCAAATCCCAGCAACCACATGGTGGCTCACAACCATCCGTAATGAAATTGGATGCCCTCTTCTGGTGTGTCTGAAGACAGCTACAGTGTACTCATCAATAAAATAAATAAATAAATAAATAAGTATTTAAAAAAAAAATGTGGAAGAATTTCCAAACAAGTCCTGAAGGTCTGGAACAGGAAGACATTCCCTAAGACCTCAATGGCACTAATATATAGTATTTCCAATTAGCTGTTACTAATTAAAATTATATTAGTGCTAGGAGTGCAATTTTCCTTTGAAAAGGATTCATATTCATATTTTTAGCAAGCTTGCTTATTTGTTTGTTTATTGTCTGCTCATGTTTGAGGCCGGAACTTGCTTTGTAGCCCAGGCTAGCCTTGAATTGGCAAGGCTCCTGCTTCAGCCTCCCGAAGGCTGGTATCACAGACACGCACAGCAGGCCCAACTGCCTTCTCATGTTTTGGAGTGTGCAGGAAGGTCAGTGCATATCTTTCACTGTTCAGACGGGTTACTCGGAAGCAAGCCTCGACAGGCAGGACATTAAGTATGCAATTATATCTGAACATACTTTTGTTAACGGCGTCTTCCAGCAACATCTGACTTTTACCCTGCTGGCATTTCTTCCTCCTTCTAAGTTGCTAAACGCAGTCTCGATTCTAGAACAGTGCAGATTTTAGGTAAAACCTCTTTCTTTAACGTTACATACTTCATATGCTGCATGTTAATACCCATGGCAAACATTCCAACCTTCCAGACTCGTCTCAGTGCTTTCCAGTTTAAAGGCAAGTAAGCTTGGCTATTTTCAACCCCAAAATTCCTCACATGAGTCACACAAGCAGAGAAGAAAGCACAGTAGCTGCTGCCATAAGGAAGGGGGACATCTTCAGAAGAAACTAACGAGCATGCAATCTGCGGGAGTCACTCCTTGCGTGTATCTCTGACAGCTTTTAACACCACAGTGGAACGTTAACATCAGACTTCCGAAAGGACGGACGCACTCCCAAAGCAGTAGGCTCAGGGCCATCACAGAGAGCAAAGGACCTAAAAGTGCATTTAGCTCTCAATGTGACCATAGTTACAGAGTCCAGTACATAAAGCTTTTCTTTAGCTATTCCAATGATGAAAGCTAGACACTTAACAGTTATTCTGAACCTCCTAGTAAATTGGACACGTCACCTAACCATCATCTATTAAATAGAAACAGCACCAGCTACCTCCCCCCTCCCCCACACCCCCTCCACTGATGGAAGGGAAGAGCCTGCAAGGAACACTCAGGGTGACTGGTCCACAGCACTCCATCAATGTCACACTGTCGTGTGCTGTGACTCCCGCCAAAGAATACCACTGATATCCACAGAAGCATGTTAACAGTAATCCCGCTACTATGTTCCAACTTCTAGACTTGTGACTGCTGCATGTCAACAGGAAATCACCCCTTTGTTTCTCTGTCAGTCACTAGACAAAT